TCATGTTAAATCTTTATATATTTACAGCACTTCATTTTTATTTTTGGTAAGGACTGAAATTAGTTCTTTTTCTTAAATCTCTAGGCTGGGGTTTCCATTGTCTTTGTGTGGCCATTGCTGTAAAGCCTTCTTCCTACACTGGGAAAGAGCTTTTACTGAGAGAGACTGTTCTCAGTATTCCAGAGAAAAATCTCCTTCCCAGCTGTCTAAAACACTTGGTTGGAATCTCAAAGTTTTTGTTTTAAATTGCATTTTATTACTGGCAAAAAGATGATAAACTATTTAAATGAAATTTCAGATGAAATATGAAGATTATATTTTATCTATATTTTGATATGAGCAAGGAATCAGGGATTAACATTTAAAAGCCATGCATCCCTTCGTTATTGAAGAAATAATTGTAATTTCAGATAACAGAAGTGTACTGTTCCAAGAGCTTTTTGGATGTAACTACCACACCATTTACCTTGGGGAAATTTCTTCACTTCATTGCCCAGCACCAAAAGGAATGGTATGCATACAAGCAGCCATCACCATTACCTCTGTGGTCCTGTGTCCTTGCCACGCGATGTGACTGGGTGTTGCTGTGGAGATGTACAGCTGCCATTTTAACTTAAAATTAGCAGCCCAGGGCATATGAGACTGGGTTAAGACTGGTAAGTGAGCACCAGAGTGGAGGGATCACATAGTCACATGTCTTTTAAGGCCAGGCTTAGGCCTATGGTGGCCTGGTCCCAAGTAGTCACATTATAGTTCTCTAATGTTCTATTGTGGTTTATTGCTCTTTATTTCTTTATAAGGTTTTGATATATCAATCTCAGTTAATTTTCAAAGAGCTACCCAGTAGGTACAATTAAACTGAACATTTTGCCTGCAGACACATAATAGTTTTTTTTTGTTTTGTTTTGCTCATCAGACCTGACAGTGTGCACTTTCTAGTTGAGCAAGTATCTACTGCTCTTATTCCTCTCTCATTAGCACAAAGAAATGATTCTTTTTTCAATTTAACTCCAAAAGTCATGTCCATTTATATTTAATATATTTGAATGGAGAAACTCATGATGAGCTGAACTGAGGGTATGAGTAAGTGCAGTTATAAGTTCTAGCTAGCAGTGTGAGTGGGCCAGAAAAAGAGCCAGTTCAGACAGCAGGAGATCTTTTGATGAATTAATAACAGGTTTAGGAGGGTCAGGAAAGAACAAGCAGAGAATCTGGTAACTTCGACCACCACTGAACTCCCTGAGAATGTGATTCAAAAATATCTAGATCTTGAAACTTATTTGGTACTGTTTTTCTTTTATGTATGCACACATACCCACACAGGATTATTTTTCTGAAGGCAAGATTTGGAACAATATACAAGAGAGAGCAAAAATCTTTGGTATAATAACAGTGGGGTGAACCGAACAGGAATTGGAGCCCTGGGCCTGGAGAATAAAAGTGTGAGAGCAGAGAGTCAGTTGGCCCAGAAAAACTTAAGCATCCCCTCTTCTCTACAACTTATTTGCGTGGAAAGTGAAGGGTGGGCCTCTGTGAGCACATGAAGTATGCTTGCCATCAGCAAGGCTGTTTCCTGTGCTGAGACAGAGAACCCTGGAGAGAACAGAGAGTATGCCTGTTCACTGAGGCTAAGTCCTCATGACTCTACCTATCAGATTATGATGGCTGACCACCTGTGTGGTAGACATTGTGCTTTACATCCATCATCCCACTTAACATCACAGTAGCCTTAACAAGTAAGTCGAGACTTAGAAACTGGCTTACCCTAAAACCCACACCACGAAGTAGTAGTACTTGAATCCACACTGAGGTGTGCTAGACTCCAGAACATGTTCTTAACTCCTGCCTTGTATGCTCTCCATGTCATTTCAGTGTAGTAGACAAGATTGTGGGAAGGGTAAATGTGATGCATCCCTTGTGCTGACACAGAGCTGACTATGCACTTTAATAACTGCACGGGAATAAAAGCAAATGGTTCTGACCAGAGGCAGTGCAGCAAGGTTTGACTAAAGAGCTCTTACCATATTAAAATTTAGATGCAGAGAAGATCCCCAAGGGTCCAGGGTCAAAGCAAATTCCAAAGCATTATAAATGAAACTGTAGTTAAGCTGGCAAATCCTAAATGCAGAGCAAGCTTTGTTTTAACTCTGTAACTGCCAACCTACTGCTCCTCCCCTAGCCTTCAGAGGTACCCTGGAAGGTCTAGGTCATTATTGGGTACCATTTCCCAAGAGCATGGAGCCAAGCTGTATGGAAAGCAGACCATAATTGCCTGGCATTCATAAGCATGTTTAGCGAGGGGCAGTTTCTGTGACATATTTCAGTCACAAAATTTAGTGTTCCAAGCAAAATGATAACCCATCTGTGTAATTTTTTATCTTAAATGCCCCTAAGTTCTTTGTCCCCAACAACTGTCAAAGCAAATTTGCAAGTGTATATTTTCTTAGTGTTTGTGTATTATATGTGTATACACAGGTACATATGTGTGAATCTAACTGTAATCCAACTTCCTGCTTATATACTTACCATTAGATAAGTGTGAAATTACATTGTTTATTACTTTCTAATGAATGTCATTTAATTCAATTTTACTTTGCAAGTTGCTATCTTTAGAAATGGCATTGCTTTTTTAAAGTTGCATTTATTTATTGTGGTGGGGGTTGGGTACATGCATGCCTCAGCACATGTGTGGAAGTCAGAGGATAAGTTGTGGGAGTTGGTTCTCTTCTTACACCATGTGAATCTCAGGGATCAAGCCTTGGAGCTTGTTATGTAGACCAAGTTGACTCTATGTAGTGATCCGCCTGCCTCTTCCCCTAGATTGTTGGGGTTAAAAGTATGCACTAGCATGCCTGGTAAATGCACATTGCTTTCTGAGGATAGTTTCAGTTTTGCTTGTTAACCTGGTTGTATGGGTTTAATAAGTACCTAAAGTGGAGTATAGGAAGCAGAACATTCTGGAACTTTTCCCACTTTCTAGTCTTTCCCCTGTATAGATGCCAGATTCCTTTGGGAAATCATCATTTGCAGAAGGCAGGCCATTCTTTTGTGTAAGGTTGCTCCTAATTGAAAACTAAATATCTACAACCATGTCGGGATTATTTGTATTTGAAAGGAAACATTTATATACAAGAGCCCTTTGGTGACATAAAACACTATACCACATAGTGCGAGTTGGGGCTGGGTAGAGAACGAACTGGGAACCTTCAGAAAGTGGCTGTGCAGAATGAAATAATTTGTTAATTAGATTGCAAATCATTTTCAGAATATTTTCTTTTCTTTGTTGAATGAAGTTTTCTGCCCCCATGGGCCAAAACAAACATTTTACTGTGTTTGCCAATTACAGATTAAACATTTAATCATTTTAAAGGAAAAATAAATGAAAAAATGGGTGAGATGTCAGGACCTAGTTAAAGTCCAGAGGAGTTCACTGGCTACCTTCTGTAGCCTTGGCTACCTTCCACTCTGCCACTTGACAGCACTTCTCCAGTGTGTATCAGGCGCTAAGTTTTTCTCTTATATGTTTTTCTCTTCTCCATTGTCATCCAGTGCCCCAGTGAAATTTAAAGTCATTTTGTTTCTGCAGAAATGGCATTGTGGGGGGCAATGGTGTTGCGGGGCAATGGTGTGTGGGTGTGTGTAAGTTAGAGAACAGCTGTGGAGTTGGTCCTCTTCACATGAGTTCCCAGTATCAAATTCAGGTTACCAGGCATGTGTGGTGAGTGCCTTAAGTGAACGAACTCTCTGACCCCAGGAGTTTTTTGTATTTTTATTCACTTTGGTGGTACTTCTGAAATATTAAAAACATTTCTTCCTATGTCTCTGCCCCCGCACCCTATACTTACATGGCCATGGCCCCAACGGACCATATGCAAATCCTTGTAATACTTTTTGTTTTGGGGGAAAGTTAAGAGGTCCTCTCTTTGCCAAGTAGAACCTACTGTCTTCTGATCTTCTTACCTTGGCATCTATAGCACCTCTGAAATTGGATTACTTTGTAAGTGGGTGAAATATCATGAAGTCTAGAGAATTCTAGCAAAGTACTTCCTATGCTGAGACTTTACCAGATTGTACTTCTCCTACAGTCTGTGTTGTGTCTTTAAAAGCTTTCAGCTTCGCAATCTTACTCCCACAGTGGTGTGGCTTCTCAGGAGCTAAGTGTTTACAAGGCTAAGAGGCCTGTAGATGCCCTGCCTTTCCCGTGCTCTGTTAACATCACAAAATGCCACTTGTCCATAGCTGTTCCTTGCTTTTATTCCCATTCTTTAGATGTTAATCAACCCAATGGTGAGGATTTAGAGCCTTGGCATTGATTCTTGTCTTTGAGCTTCATACTGTGTTGTCTGCCATTTGTGATGCTCCTCACTGTGGCCCAACCCATCAATTCTTTAGCCTTAATGTTCAGTTACTCATTAGCACCTAAGTCATCCAGACACATACACCTATCCCTTAAGCATTTTTCTGTGTGTGCTTTATATACTTCTGGTCTTGGCTAGGATAGCCTTTTGTTTTTCTTGCCCAACTAGAACCATCCTTTCCTGATTCAGCCATTCTCTTCTCATTGCTTGTAGCATGAAGATCATTTGTTTATCATTGTCCCTATACTGCCTCGGTTTTACTCATCATTCCAAATGTGCATCTCATCCCTCTAACCAGTATATAGACTGCTCAGAGATAGCCTTGCTGCTCATGGCACTTACCACAGTACTTTCTACTCTTCACAGGTATCCAGTTAAACTTTGTTCATCATTGATGAATAAACCATTTTTCTGCTATTATCTTCCCCTGTGATAGCATTATATATGCCAGTGTTATTTTTAACAAAAGCAATGTGACCTGTGTAACTAACGTAGATACCAAAAAAAAAAAGATCATTTGAATAAGGAAAGAATAAGAACAATCATTTGAAATGAGGTACAGATCCTGTAAATAAGAAACATATACAAAGATGCAGATGTAGAAACAAGCATTAATGCTGTTATGTTTTTATTTCTCCTCAGGTGTGGTTGCTCGCCTATCTACCACTCCCGTGAAATGGCAGCTCGTGCATTGGTCCCCTTCATTACAATAGATCAAATACCAAGCACCGTCCATGCTCTGCTAGACTCACTTCCCAACAGCACTGACCAGTGTTTCCGACAAAACCATATCCATGGGACACTTCTGCAGGTAAGTACAGTGGCTCTGCGGCTTTCATAGACCACCATAGGATGAACTTTGGTTTCTCCTGTATTCTTAGCAAGTGAAGACTTGATACACAAGCTTTTAAGTTTATTTGTTTGTAGGGCTTATTTATTTCTACTTCTTAATTATCAGATACCTCAAGTATGAATTAGTGTACACTGATTTGGCAGATTATCTCATGCATTCAATTCTGCAACATGCTTTTTCCATCAAATATGCCAACAGAACATTCCGAGCCATTTCTTCTTCAAGGTTGTGATGGTTTGAATGAGAAATGTCTTGGGTGTTAGAATGCATGGTCCTCAGTTGATGGTACTGTTTGGGAAGATTTAGACGTTGTAGTCACTGATGTGTCACTGATGGCAGGCTGTGAGACTTCCTGCTCCTACCACTATGACTTCACTCCACCATTGAGGTCTCTAAACTCTCTGGAACTGCTAATTCAAATGAACTTTAGCGCAAATAGACTTTTCTCTTAGGTTGCCTTGATCATGATATTTTATCACAGCAATGGAAAACTGTGAGCCTTCTAAGAAGATTGCGTATGTGCCTACTCGTGCATTCGCGCGCACGCGCACACACACATCACACACACACACAGCCTTCAAAGTGCACCTCAGATCATCTGCTCCATGTTGTGTGCATTACGGGTTTTTGCAGTTTCTTTTGTTGGGAGGGGAGAAGCATTTGAGGGTAGGGGTGATATAACACCCAGGTGGCAATAGGGACAGCCTCAGATATCAGTTCTCACCTTCCTCCTTGTTTGAAGAGTCTCTTGTTTTTTTGTTTTTTTGTTTTTTGTTTTTTTTTTTTGCTTTGGGGGTTATTTCCTTCTTCACCAAAGTCTGTGCATCTGGGTTTACCTTGGGACTGGGTGTTCAAACCAGGACCTCCTGTTTGTATAGCGGCACTTTTCCCTGCAGAACCATCTTTCCAGTCCCATGTGACTCTTACTATAAAGTCTCAAGCATTTATACCTTCCGGTCCTCACTTGGTCCCTGTGTTAAGGACAGGCACAGTCTATCTTAGCCTTGGAGACAAACCTCAGAGGTCCAGAGATCATCATTGGATTAGTCAAACAGCTAGGTCTCTTTGCCCCTAACTCTGCCTCTGTTTCAAAGGAAACAGACTAATGACAAGAAAAGTAGCAGAAGAGAATCTTGAAAGTGTACCCTATAGGGAGTTAGATAGAATGCCCAAAGCATAAAAGGTTGCAGCCGTAGGCTGATGAGTTCTTGCAGAAGTAGTGTGGGGCCGTTTTTCCTTCCTTTCTCCACTTGTACTGGTGGGCCTCTAATTGGATGCCTCCTGCCACCATAGCAGTCCCTATGTTTCACCAGTCTACCCAGCAACCAGACACGATCTCCATATTCTCAGGTTTACTTTGTTGACTGTCATATAAAACTCTATGGAAAAACAAAACAAAACAAACAAAAAAAAAAACCCTCCCAGTTCTGGGCTTGTCCAGCTGTTCTTGTTCCTGAGTGTTGATGAAAGGCTTCCTGTAGGTGGGTTGGGGGTAAGGAGTCATAATTGAATGTGGGCATTTACTGTGCTGGTCTAACAGATTCCTGTATTGGTCAGAGTTGTTTCACTCGTGTTGAAAAGGTGTGTGCAGTTTTCTACTCTGTTTGGACTGTTGTCATTGTCTCTTCGGGGAGAGCATCTGAGGAGTTAAGTCAGAGAGGAATCTCTCTGTAGGTTCTTCTACACATAAAACTATCTTTAAAATCAGCAAATGCTTGCTTGCACTTGGAAAAGAGAGGTTAGGGACTGAGAGGAGTGATAGTCTCCGTGGGACCTTCAGAACCAGCTAAGTAAATACAAAACTGTTAGTTTTTCAAGAGCAGGAAATCATTTTGTAATCAGAAAACAAACTCTTTCACAGAACATTTTCTTGAATTATACATTTTGACTTCTTTGAAGATGTTTACATAAACATATCAAACCCCAGAGTATGTCTTTAGTATACCTTAAAAACAAAAATGTGCTGATCCCTGGGTTTCTGAGACTGGGAAAGACTCAAATTATAGGGCATGCAGAATAAGAACATGCGGGTTCATTTCCTACTCATTTCAAAACCAGAGGTTCAGAATGGCAGTGCTGGAGTGGAAGGAAATGGCACCAGTAAGGAAAGGTGAGATTGTACAACAGGTTCTAAAGAGCCCAGAGTAAATGACATTAAATCTCAATAAAGGCCAGATAAGAGCCATGGACATTACCTCATTTGGGAACAAGACTGGCAGGGCCACCCGTCTTTTAAGTAGAATTAACTGTCTGTTTTTATTGCCAAAACTCTTCATGTTAGGAACTTAATGTTATTACTAGGTTACTTATCACCCCTAAGAAGTTGCAGTGTAGTTCAGAAAGTTCTCTTGTTAAGACTGAGTTTGGCCAGCAACCCTGAGGAAAGGGTTGTTCTGATTCTTGTGTATTTAGCTAACATTTTGACGTTCCATTGAGAAGTCTACAGCATCTGAGGGGAGAGTTTGAGTTTTGGGTTTGTTCATCCATCATGTCTTTTGTTCATGTTTCTGATGGTGTAATACAAAAGATGAGCCTTGTTCTTATTATTGTAAAGCTCCTTTGTGAAGTAAACAGGCTAGATAATGTAGCTTGTTGGAAAATGAGAAAACCATTTGGTTATTTATCTGAATATTCTAGGCAAGTTTTTTCTTTAATCTAAATAATCGCTCAAGTGCTGCGTATCCTTTGGTGTGAGAGCCCAAACTGCCTCTTCTGCTGATTGTGATCAACACATTCTTCCTGTTAGCAACAGAACATGTTAATCACTTCAGTTTTTTATTTTTCTTTCCAATCCAAAGACTTGATTTCTCCACTCTGAGAATTCTGAGGTAGAAAACGTCCTCTTTCCTGTCTGTGGAGTTCAGTAATAGTGCTGCCTACTTGTTTGCTGCAACATACTAACCAGAGATGGACTTCAGATGGCCTAGGTGGACAGCTTAGTTCACCATGAAAGGAAAAGTAGCCTTTAGAGCATTTGTGGTTGTATTCATGTTCTTAGCAAGTCCACAGAGTAGCGAGACAGGTGCCCCTTCGTTCATTCCCCCCTCACTCCCTCCCTCCTGCCCAGTTGATCTAAACCCAGAATGGGTGACTTGTGTGAAGCCACAGAGGTAGAGATTTGTCTCACTCTAAAGCCCACGTTCTTTCTCTTTATAACATCCCTCCTGCCTGATAGTTGATGAGGGTAACAGCTTTTCATGAGTACGAACTTAAATTAAGAACCCTTCTCTTTTCTGGTTCTATCTATTACCAATTGGTTGGTCTTCTTAAATTTAGTGTGTTGTGATTCCCCAGCATTGGAAGCAGAGTGAGACCACCTGTTTTAGAGGTTGTCAGGGAAAGTCCTAAAACCCAGAGAAGATACGATGGGAAAGAAGCGCTGTACTTTCCTCCCTCCACTCATTGCTTTCCCTTTTCTCTTTGGTTTCCTACGTAAGACTCTTAGCTCTCACAACAGGATTTTCCCAGACTGTAACTAAGTCGCAGTAGTCACACCCTCTGTCATCCCTAAACCTTGGACTTGAGCAGCATAGGAATGATGGATCTAGGAGATGATGGGCACAAGGAAGTGGTAAGGATGGAGTTTAATAAAGCAAACACCGCTTGCTGCTGGAGTGTGAGTAGTTTGCCCCTGGGGTTCTTCCTTCCCAGTGTGGGGAGCTCTACTTCCAAAACTCAGCACACTCCCTGTGGATAGGGACAGAGGACTGAGTGACACTGAGGTGGAAGACAGACAGACAGCTGGTTGTGGACATAAATGAGGCCCTTTCTGCTTGAGTCAGGATCTCCACACAGATGGGAGCAGCAGAACGGGATTGTACCAACGACAGCATGAGTACTAAAATAGAGGATGATCTTGGAATCACTTTCTTGAAAAAAAAAAGCAGGAACCCAGAAAGAAGTAAAGGTGAGCTAGTTTAGCTAATTGTATAGAGCAGCCACTGTCTAAGGAGCAGGGGCCAAACATGCCTCCTTCAGTGCTTTTCCCCAGATCCAAAATAGAAGGGAGTGGAAAATCCAGAGTAGGAACAGCCTTTCACTAATATTGTGCATCAGTATTTATAATAAATATAATTTGAGTTATTTCCATATTTTAAAAGTATACCCTTACTAGACAGTCTGTACTTTAAGAATTTTAATATTTTTTCATGTTTCTCAACAGTACAAATTGTGAGACCTAAAATGTTCAAGTTGTCCAGAAATGGGATAGTACTTGATGGATCTCATTCGGTGACCTGTGGTTGTTGTTGTTTATTTTATGCTCAGAAAATACAATTTCCAATGGAAAAACAAAAGCATGAGATGATGCTGATGTTATAAGTTTTAAGTGAACTAATTGTCAGTGTTCGTTCCTAGACTGAGTCAAACTTCATTGAAAACGCTCATTTATGACTGGCTGTCAGCTTGTTCTTCCTTCTGGGGCATCTGCACTCCCGTGAGAGGAGAGCTAAGGTGGTTCCCAGTCCAGCCAGGGCTGCGGCAGTTCTGCCTCCACATGTTGCCTATACATGTGTCACAGTCTCGGGGAACATAAATGAGCAAAGGGCTGGAGACTCCAAGTGGTCACCTGCACTTGGGAATGGCGGCATCTGTTTTAACCTGGGGCATTAGTAAGAAAGGCACTGGGTGACACTGGGCTCTTTTTAGAAGTTAAAGAAAGCCCTGGACCTTGTTAAAACTTACTTTTGGTGATACATTGCTTTCTTGATATAAACCCAGGAAAGCCATTTTTAATTAAAATGCTACTTTCAGAGATAAATTAATTCCTTCTTTATAAAGATTCAGAAGTTTTTATTTGGTTATGTTACTTGTTGGAGAGCCTTCTCCACATGTTGGGAACTATCTCCCAGCTGCCAGGTCCAGTGCTGTCCAGCCAGACTCACTGGCTGTCATACATGGTCATTGTTCCCCACAGCAATGCCCTCCCATAGCTTTGCAGTGCTCTGAAGGAAGGCCAG